TCTTAAAAATGAAAATCGTAAATGTAACGGAAATTGGTATGAGATTGTGAAGTATCGACAAATATGATTTAAACTATTCAAATTTATTTTAATACCAAATCTTCGTTACAATAGAATTATTGCTTGTATGTGTGGATGTGATTGAAGAGATGACACACCTAGATCCACACCCTAACAGCCATCGGTTGATTTACTACATCTATAAGTTTTTTTTTTTAAGGGGCAAAAATAGATGATTTAAGACAATGGATCATCGCCAGTCAAAGTTCATCTTGCCGTGATGACATTTCATTATCGAATGTTTTTCGAAAACCTTCGTTTTCTGCGTCATTCTTTGTTTGTGAGCAAAATGTAATCTCATCCATTGAAATTCAAGTCGATAATTAAGAAAACATGAAAGATAATTTGTATGTACATATTTGGATAATACTTGTTTCTCGAATGTCATTGATAATCTTTGTAGACAGTAAATAGGATCTTGTGTTTCTTAGTGATAACACAGAGAGATGTTCAATTGAATTAGACCTTTTCTTATTGCATCAATAGATGATGATTGAAGAATTCATGGACTTAAAAAACGAAAAAAAATTCATTTAAATGATTATTTTCTGAGTTTTCATCGAAAAAATGCCATGAATTTAATTAGCTTTGCATTATTTTGATTATTTCCATGTCATTTTCATTCGATGACTTTGATGCTAAATGCACGATGACACATCATTGTATTTAGAAATTAATGATGAATTTTTGTGTGTATGTGTCCTGACACGTATTCATTTTCATGAGACTGACATTTATAACGACTAGGACTATATCGTGCTCCGGTCTTTTATAAAAAATCTTTCAAAATTTACTCTTATGATAGGAATCCACACTGTTAATGAACAATAGAAACAGTAACATATTGCATGGAAGCACTCGCACTGAATGTTTTCAAAACTTGTTCATTTGCTTTGAAGAAATTTTGTTTTCATTTTTCAACACTAGTTTATTATGATTAAATGTGTTTTTCCAAGTTGTTTGCAGCATATCTTAAATAAAATGATTAACAATATGTTGTCAAACTATAAGAGTTTGAGCGAAAAACAACTGTATGTCAGAACCTTGAGGGTGACAGTGAGGGCAATCATCTTCTACTGACTCTCACCCACCAGCCCTCAAAGCGGAAGAGTATCTTTAAAATAAAAATGACTAAAACAACATTATGTTTTTTATATTAAAAAGAGAAAAACACATATCGAAAGAATTTTTCAATTATCTTTTCGATTCGAATGATAATATTCCTTTAGAATCAGAATCGATCTCATTTCTGCACAATTGACTTCGAATTCCTACTCCTATTTGTTCTCATTTATGTATACGAAATCGTCTACTTCATCTTAATTATCATATTGCCTCGCCTAATCAATTACAAATTGCGTCATGTAAAAAAGAAAAACAAAAAAAGCATTAACATACACATCCACAAGTGAATGAAGAAGAAAAAAGAAATCTGTTCATATTACTTGATTATTGACTGATTTATTTAAAAATTCATATCTTAATAAAGAAAATTACTCGTATATAAGGATATTTCTAAGTTCTCTATTCATATTGAATGTGACAAGAGCTATTCTCATTTGAAGAAAAAGAATATCAATCAAATATTAATAATCAAGTATTTCGTGATTGTTGCTAATTCGATCGTATGTTTTCTATATATTAGTTCGACTAGAAATTGAAATATCAAATGATTATTGAACGATAATAAACTATCATAATCCATCTTTTCATCATTATCAAACATAAAACAATTTGAAGAAAAAGCAAGTATAATAAGCATTAATTTAATAATGATTATATCATACTCTAAATTCATAGCAATACGTTTTGTTTATTGAAATATATTAAATGACCCGCAAGACATAATATAAAAGTAGCACAAACAGTTTAAAAAGTTCATGTATATTACGATAAAAAGAGAAGATTTTTCGTTTAATGTAAGTATTTGAAAATCAATTGTAGAACAAATATATGATTCGGTTGAAGTGTAAAAAGCAGTAAACATTTCAAGTATTTGTGATTGAAAAGTCAATAGATGTTGAATAGTTAGTCTTGTTTCAGTTATTGGAATATAAACTTATCGAAATCAATTTACTCAAATAATGTTCTGTTTACTATACCAGCTGAATTTGTATTAAAATAAGTAATATCCTAAATCAAATCAATCTTTTTAAATTTTTTCATATTCATAGAAATAGGATAATAATAATAAAAAAAAAACACCGTCTGGTCATTATGACAATATCAAGTTTTATAATAGGTATTTTTATTAATCTACTGTATATCTTATTGATAATCTTCACGAAAAAAGAGAATACCATACTTTTCTTATCACTATAGCTGTTGAGTTTGATAGGAAAGTAACGATTCTTAACTCGAAGAGAGTGTGCAAGTAAAATTTCCTTTTAGAAAAATTCTTATCATATTAATATTTTTTCATATTTTTTAAACAAATATTTAGAAAAACAAAAAATTCTATTAGTTTTTAATTAAGATAAAAATGGATAGAATGAATGAACTGTATTATAGGTTCTATGTACGTTTATTTCGTCTACAGAGTGAAATCTTTATCGAATAATTTATTCACTTTTCTCGCTATATGAAATAATCTATTTACATTGGACATATTCAGTAAATAAGTGATTGAAACAGAAGAATATTTATGTGAGATCGTTGCCATTTAGCACTAATCGGAAATGTATAATATTGTACAGGCCGAAATACGAATTCAGTACATCCAATAATTAAATATAAAGCAATATTTTTTTTCATTGAAATGAAATGATTCCATAGCTAGTAAATTTTATATTTATAACATCTGATCAAAATTTTGACATTGTTGATCTTAAGAACATGTTCCTTTTAGTACAAAATCTATGTTAAATTATTAACAAAGAAATAAATGATAAATATAAATAAGTTAGGAATTACTTATGATACTGATGATAATAAAATACATTCAGTTCAATACTAAATCGACAGTTTAAATATGTTTGATTTGTCAGCGATGAATTTTTCATTAGAGTTTGACAAGCATTTGAAAAAGGTGTGATCATAAAACTACTAGTTATTTCTCCGAAAAGTACATTATAAATAAAAATACATTTACTAATCAACTAAATGTAATGATTAGCTCATTATTATAATTTTTAACAATGTCATTTTCGTCTTCTGAAGTTTTTTTTTTATGACCATGAAAAAGCAGAGTAGTTTTGAGATCCTTAAAGATTAAATGAGCGTTTATTCTAATTCAATATTTAAGTTTATTATACGCACTGATGATTTGTACTGATTATTATTATCATTATCAACAGATGGTTGAAATGTATTAATTAAACTTGTTTCTCACCCATTCTGTTCGATTTCAAAACATGATAGTTAATCTATACTTTACGAGTTTTTTAATATCAAAAAGAAATAGCTTACAATAGTAAATATATCGTATAAAATAATTTGCAATCTCCTTGGTTTTTTTATAATCTTGTGTTCGGTTTTCATATTTTATGACATTTAAGACTCGCCTGCACAGCCTACTACATAACGTAGTCTGCAATTATAGTTGTAGTCTTTCTTCTCAAAACAATCAGACAAAAAGCAAGATAAGAATTTATTAATTTATGGCTATCAAAAGAACCTGTATACAAACAAAGATGTTGTCAATCCACGCCAAAGATGATTTGCAAGGACACGCTTCCCTAAAGAGAAGAGCAGAAGCAAAATCAATAAACTCATGTCTATACATCTGCAAGAAAGCTTCACCACTGAAGCGAAGTATATGAAATACAACACATAAATAATGTGTGCTACTTGTTCGAATACGAAATGTAACCAATATAAAATGATGTTCTTAGAAAATAGTGAAAACTAGCTGATTCTGTCACAAGATGAAATATTGACTTTGAAATTGCTGATAATTATATAAAAAATCACCTAAAACTCTGAAGGTTTTATTAATCTACACTGGTTTTTTAAAACGGAGAAACGAGTGAATATTCATTGTAGCCTACCACTACAGTTTGTCATTACACTCAGTTTTTGCTTTTTCTTTTTCTTTCAGTGTAGCGATGTTCGCTCAGTTCTCTTCTTCACATTCACCTTTAAAATATGTTATGTAGCGTATGTTGCATAATTACGATTACATATTCAATGATGCGTAGACTACATTTCGTAATGTATCATAAAATGTCAAAAAATATAACAAAAATCATATACCACAGCCAGGAATCGAACCTGAATTTCAAGAGTCACAGTCTTGAGTCTTGACCATTAGACCACTGCGGCTTATGTGTCATAGATTCTAGCAAGTTGTTTGATAATAAATGTGAAACACGAGACATCTATTTCACGTGAACATCAAGATGCTTCTTGGGAAACGAAGCACGTTTTGAAAAGTTCTTTTTTCTTGAAGGCCAGAAGGAGTGTATAAAAAAGTCTTTGATCTTCAAACTAATAATCATTCATATAGAGAATCTTGATTTCCAGGTCGTTTTTTTTGGAATATGGCAGTGCATGCTTGTTCAGAGGAAAAGTTGATTTGGCTTTGGTTTAATATTGACTTCATTACATATGATACTTGAAGGGCCAAGTTTTGTTGTTTTTTCGTGAAATTTACGGTGTTCCACGCAATTTTCAACATTTGCGTAAATCGAAAAACCCTCCGATATATCCAAAAAGTACCCGAAAAACACGCCTCTCTAGATTTCGTTGTACTTTTGTGTATTTCGTGCGATTCTCTCATTTCTAAAACGATCTCAGAGACTTTCTACAGTTTTGTATATCTGAAAGGGTGTGGGTGAATATGTGACAAGCAGAGATTCGCACCCACACTCACATCCTATTTAACTTGTATAAAATAAAGATAAAAATTGAACATTACAAATTGTATCACTTATTTATATAGTAAAATTTCTCTCTATTCACGTTTGTTAAATATTGATGTGCTTATGAAGAATAGTCCCTCAATCGTAAATCAATTTGAATCTTGGTCCAAAGAGATTATCATATGCAGGTGGTATTTCACTAAGGTGCCTGATCCAAACACATATGAAAGGTACTTCACTTCGACCCTTAGCTCCGAATTGATAGTAGTCAGCATTACGTATTTCATCAGGTGTTTGAGTCATGACAAAGAGACGATCAATATTATCTCGTCCCGATTCTTTAACATCGGCTTTACCGAAAACCGTATCGAATAGATCTGGATGAAGTTGAATGCACATTTTTCGTAGTTCTTCTACACATTTCTCAATGGGATTATCTTCCATAATGATAGCTACCAGTCGATTACCCTCGTTCGGAATGCTATATTGGCGATGATCATTAATAGATCCGTCTGGATTGAAAGTAAGTCCAAAAGAGATACGTTGAAGAGCAATTTGGACACATTGTGTGGTGAGAAGAGTAGTGAAATCAATCAGTTTCATTCATACGATAAAACGTTTTCAAGTTACCTAGAATAAACAAATGAGATCTTTGCATAGTTGAAATAGATACGTAAGAAAGCTCTTAATTAGACTTTTCGTCATATTTTCAAAGTTTCGATCTAATCGTAATTCTGTAATATAGTGAAATGTTTGAGCTTTATTTAAAATATTTGTTAAGCTATCACAAGAAATGATATAATCGAAGTTATGTTATGGTCAAGAGAAACAAGCTATGATGACAGTCAAATAATTTTGTTTACTTAGATATTGAGAATATGAATGCTAATAAAATTTATCAACAGAATAATGTTTCACAAAACTATACAAAGACTGACGAGCTTGTAAAATGGACTACAAAGAAATTGCTTATGATACAAATTTGCTAAGGTTTTCGTGATTTCAAGAAATGATCTGTCGAACTTTGAATCGACTTTCAACTCAAATAGCATGGTACAAAAAACGGAAAATATTTGTCATTAAATGCAACAGGATTGCACAACTTAGAGTTTAATCTTGATGAAAATAATAACTTTTGGCTACCGAGAGTTTCCCAAGATATTCTCCTCTTTTTCAGTTAGAACTCATTATTGATGGTTAGAGTTTCGATATGAAGCATTCTCAATGTATAGGGCGCAAAACTTGATCTTGTTGTAAAAAGTGTGTGTTTTTTCAATCAATTGATTATTTCAGAAAAGAATCATTTATGTGAGACGAGAACTTCGAGGCGAATATGTGGAAGATAGTTTGATATTCAAGATTTTTGATGAATTCCAAATCATAAATTTCTTTAGGACTTTTTTTATATAATAAAGATCTCTGTATGATTGAACTTTTCAGCCGAAGAGTGCGAGAGCACATGAAAACATGCTAACAGAATTTATCGGATACTTGATTCTGTAAGGTGAAGATCGTTTCTTCCTACTTCTAGTTTCTCAACGTGTTCCTATTTGTTTTTGCTCAACATAGTTTTGTACAAGACCTGTTAAGAAAAAATTACAAAGTCGAACTATATACAGCTACAAATATTTTTATGAATTTTTTGCCCTCATTGTTTTTTTGAAATCATGAAATAGAGTCTTTACTCACCGATGTCATCCATAATAATTGGCCATTTTTTCAAGTGTTCTAACTTTTCCATCTCTTTTGGAAGAACTTCCTTCATCTTGACCAGTTTGACAGTCTTCGTTTCTGGTTGATCAACCGCTGCAGCCACTGGCTCATCCGTAGTCTTTGATGTAGTGACGTTTGCTGGCGGTTTCGAGGTATTTGCAGTCGGGTTCTTCGTTGGTGAAGAATCAACTTTGGACGGAGGCACTTTCTTCGCAGGCATTTTGCTTATGATGAAAGAATGAATACAGTAAATAATAATCCTATTCTGGACGAAGTTGTTTCTTTTATGTATTTCAAGGTGATTGAATCACAATCGCGACACGTAATATTGATT